CCCTGGGGACGGGCGGTCCTGCTGCTGCCGGCAGGCTGTATCGGGGCAGGCAGCGTCCTGTGCCGTGCCGTGCCGTGCCGTGCCGTGCCGCGCCGCTGCGTGGCGTCATTTGCAGAATCGGGTCCGGGAGAGGAAGAAATAAAGCACTGAATGTACCCGTGCGCTCGCCTGTCTGCTCAGCTGGGCCGTCTGCCCCCGGAGCGTTACGCGTCTGGATCATCTTCTTCTCAAAAATCAATGACTTTTATACAGCAACGAATTGCCTCTGGTCTAGATTTGCTTTTAAATATCTGCCAGTCATGCTCTCCTCCCGCTGTCAGATTCCCGCCGGCACTGAAGCACAACGATAATTTTTCTGTCCCCGATAGTGTGTGAAATCAAACAAGAGCACGCATGTACTTCCTTTATCGTATTTCACCTCAGACCTAAACAACTGTGCAATAAAAAGTTCAGAGGTTAGTTGTAAAACGAGCTAACGGCTGACGCAGCTACGTTGTCATTTTAGAGGACAGGACTATCTGTCCAGTCACTGCAGTGCAGCAAGGGACTTTTTCACAAGCACCTTCCTGCTTTTTCAGCCTGATTTTCTGCTGCATTTTTTTCAAAGCTGCCACTGCCAGCTCTCTGAGGTTCTGTCAGGTGGACTCAGCAGCAGCAGCAGCAGCAGCAGTGGCTTGGGCAAACTTTCCCCTGTGTTATTGCACTTTGCCTGCCAAAGCCATCGGTCAGATTTTTACTGTACAGCATTCTCGAGTTCCTCATCAAGTCTGCCGTGACGTTTTGTAATCCTTCAGATGTGATACCAAATCAGTGATATTTTATATGCTTTATGCATCGTTTGAACTCTAATTGTGAGGAACTTTTTTTTTTTCATAATTATGTACAGCAGAATCCAACATATTAAAAAAGCTGGATGCTATTGTAGTCTGCCATACTGCAAGCTTAAGCCAGCACGCTGCAGTAGCGTTATTATTGTACAGTAGCCAATACCTCTGGTGCCCTGTATTAAGCTGCTAACAGCAATCCTGCAAGTCACTGTCAACTCCAAGGGTATTTTCAGCTAATTCTCATAACACGTGTGAGAAAGGTCAATATGCAGCCTCAGAATACAGCTACAGACCAGATAGCTAGAAGTGGAAGAGATAACGCTCCGGGATTATTGAAATGTTTTATTAGGCAAATATTTTTGTTGGTTACTTTGTGATTTCTGTGTGTATTTTTTCTCTTGTGCTCTTGGATGGTTTCTTTCTTTGCTCAGGATTGCTCGTTCAAAAGCATGTTGGAAGTATTAAGGAGAGTAGGTTGGACATAGAGGCTTATTTTCATTAAGAGGGAAAGAAGAATCACAATTTTTCTTCCCTGTCTTACACTTTTTTTAAGAAAATGTTGGCAGCATGTTATGTGATGGAGGTGAGAGCTGTGATGAATTTAGGGTTGCTCTGTAAACCTTTAAATATATTCTCTGTGTTTAATCACTATGAGTACTGTGTTAGTATGTTGTTTTAGCATAATAGCAGATTTAAATAAACAAAAGGAGGAAGCAAACACTGGGAGGAAATATGCCTCATCAAGTATTTCTGAGGTTGTCAAAAAGGACGTTAAATCTAGACAAAGCTGACTCTGGGCATTGGGTCCAAACATATTAGCTGAGACAACAAGGAGCATCTATGGATTATCCTTAAATGTGGCTAAAGCTAGGAGTGTGAGTGAAAGGGAAGAAAACTGAAAGCAGGCCTCTCTCTCTGCCAGAGGTTAGAGGCCCTGGGAATGAAGGCACTTACTAGATCAGTGGATGTACTAGGACAGGATAAGGCTAATTCTCAACCCTATTTGCTTATAATCTGCTTTCCTCCCATTATCATTCAACAGTGTTTTCAGAAAGTTATTTGGAGACACCATATTTACTGCTGGTCATAACTCCTGGAGTTGTGCCCAGTTCCATCTCTTGAACAAGCGCAGTCACTAGGCAGGGTACTGCAGAGCTGATTTAAGAACAGAGTGCCAGGGCCCTGGGTGCGTTCGTAAGCCTTACTTGCCCTCACCTGGGGCTCCCACCTGGGCTGGGGCACCTGCTCCTGGCCTGAGCTGTGTTGTAGGAGGGCCTGTGCCCAGCCACATCACTGACTTGGTGACTGGCTTGACTTGGGGCCTGACTTGTCCCTTTGCTTTTGCTTGATGGCAAAACCATTACCGTCCCCAGCCCTGCTCTGCTTGTCTTGCTCGGACACCATGGAATGGCATCCTGCTGTGTGGCATCGTCGTCCCTGGCTCCAGGCTCACCTTCTCTTATGGAGGGGTCCTGCTGCTCCCAAGCACGGAGAGTCACTGATGTGCCTGGGTCCTTCTCACCTCCTCTTTGAGTGCAGGGCTAGGAAAAGAGGGATGCTGAGATCAAAATAATGTGAGCTCCTGAAATGGAAATACAAAATGAAAGTACACACCAAACTGGCTTGAGATTACCGGAAAAGAAATAAGATGAAAGAGAGTGATTAAGTTAAAAACAGAATGGAGGCAGAGAGAGGAGTGACTGTAGGTGTAGAAGCCAATTAGTGTAGGAACATTTTTCAAGGCAATTTCTGCTTGTGGTATGTATATGCAGAAGCAGATGGGATCAGACAGTGATGATCAACTTTTCATATGCTTTTTAAATTCAAAGAACTTAAAAAATCTAATGGGTTCATGAGGTGGGAGGGAAGGGATGAAACAGAAATAGTAGCATGGAGGGGTTTATATATAAATGTACGTAAGTACTGCTAAGGGATTGAGATGTGGGTGAATGTGCAGAAAAGGAGAGAGATCCAGCATGCTTAAAATTAGTGGGGTCTCCATGTCAGAACAATCATGTGATGGTCCACTCTGGCTTCTGGCATTCCCGTGCCTCTTCCCTGATAGGGCTGTCCATGCATCAGCTCCCTGGAAAGCCTAAGGAGATGGCTGTACCTGTGGAAGATGGAGGTGCCTGCAACTGACAGTGGGCATCCAGGGACCAAGACGCTCACGCTGGTTTGGACAAGTGAGGGGGAAGCGGATACAGGAATGCTGAGTGTCAGAGCAGATGGAGAGGTTCCACATGAATGCTGATGGCCAGAAAACATATTTTTTTTATTTCTGCTTGTCTTTTACTCTAGTGTAGAATGTTTATGTTCCTTTTAGTTTTATCTTAATGGATATGCTCTTAATAAGTTTAAAAAATGGACTCATGGCCTGGGGTTACACAGCAGAAAGAGCTAGGGACCCTCATGTTTTTTTACTGCACAAATGGGTGCATCCTGCCCCTATTGGTGCATGTTAGTTTCTCAGCGCCCTTTGAGGCAACTTGGCTTGTCTTAAAGCTCCTGGAAACTTGCAGAGCCAAATGGTGTTTCCTTCACACATGCCTGGTATCCATCCAAGACACCCCAGATATCGCTTAGGAAGGCTCACATTTATGTTCTTGTCATTCCCTGAATAGTCGTGCCAAGAACGTAGCCAAGAGATGGACAATAGGTACATTCAGTCCAAAAGTGCCTGGGCCAGTCTGCAAGTTCCTAGGAGATAAAGGTGGGCTCTTTCTCTGTGCTCTGTGACAAGCTGAACCCTAATTCAAGCTGGTGCTGGTAAGCAGCTTCAGTTTGTATGTAAATGGTTTCTCTTGTGTTTCTGGTCTCCCAAGGGGGTAAGTATCCCTGGAATGCTTTTAAACATGGGCCAGCTAGTTTCTTGCCAACAATGTCTCTATGTGAAAGCAATGCAGTTTGCTTGCATCTGACAACAAAAATTTGTCTTTTGCATTTAAAACAATGAAGTATTTTTGTGTGTGTATTTTTACAATGTCTGTCTGTTCTCTGCATTTGCTGCCCTTTGGGAATTCCTCTAACTCTACGGCTTCTTTCTTTCTCTCCCAGCCCACTGGTTACAACAGGGAGACCTTTTATATTCTGGGACAGGCTGGGAGTTTCTCACGGACCGTAGAGTGGTTGCCAGATCATGCTTAGGAGAAGTTAAATGGAGAATACAGAATGAAGCAGCGGATCCGTCTCCAGGATTAAAGGAACCAGATGGGAAAGGTCTGGGAATTCTACGGATGGGACCTGGTGTACGCATTGGGCAACTACCAGATTTGCCCTGGATTGACTGCTCGCCAGAAAAGCAGATTCCCACCTTCACCTCATTTTCTTCACCTGAACCAGCAATGACAGGATGGAGTATATGTGTTGCGTGGAACCGGAAGAGGCTCATCCCTCTCAGGATGGGTTCTCGCACCGAAGACGATGTTATCTGTGTCTCCCATGGTGGTATGTTAGGCTGTGTGTGTCCTGGTATCAGGAACTCTTTTAAGAAACAATATGATATTTGAATGTATATCTGTTGGATGATACCTTGTTTCCTCTGATGTTTATACAGCGTGCTATCGGTAGGGCCTATCTATTCATAGTCATGTATCACTACCCTCATGTTTCAAAAGAAAAGAACTGAAACCCGTGCTGGCTGGTACCAAGCAGATGCCGTACCTGCCCCGTTGCGCTGGCGAAGAGGAAACGCGGTAGCACTGCGGTCCCGGGCGTGTGGAAGCTCCTTCACAGGGACCAGAAGGGGGCACAAATGCAAAAGTCACCGCGCCGGCGGTGGCTTCCCCGAAATCGTCTGCAAGAATGGAGTTCGCTTTCCCTTCAAAACAATAGAAACACGTATAAATAACAGGTGGCAAATGAATATCGGTGGCAAAATTAATCATTAAGGAGTACCCAGGAATACCACATGACCGTAGGAAACGAATTCTGTGGTTTTCTGCGTTATGCCTGTAGGCTGCGGGAGGAACCGCCGGTGCTACTTTTCCCTTAAGATTGCTGCTTCATCGTGTGCCTGCGCTGCGACAGGGTAAAGGCCACATCGGAAGTACCAATTTGGCGTTTATTAAATTCTGAGTTACTCATTTTATGACGCAGACACCTTTTAAAAGGAATTTTACTTTGTAACTTTGTCCTGCAACAGCATGGCGCCAGGAATGGACCGCTGGTGCTCTGGCAGCGTTGAGCCATACAGGCGGGTGCCAGCTCCCGCAGCCTCCCATCCCTCCCCGTTCCCGGTGTCCGGTGCCA